GCTTCACCACACGATATACAGTCTCAGGTACATATTCAAGTACCAAATTGAGATAGAGTTCATCTTTATCTGTGGTAGAAAAGAAGCAATGTTTTAGTGATACAACATTGGGATGATCAAGAAGGCGCATTGTTTGCAATTCGCGATTCTTGTATCTTTTATCCTGCAAAACTTTCTTGATTGCTACAGTTTCTCCAGTTTCAAGACATTTAGCCTGCAAAACAAATATGCTGAAATCAACTTTATATTAGCTATCTTAGAGCAATTAATCTAACCTGTAACATATCAATTAAATGCCACCTGAAACACAATACCAAATGAGCCTTGTCCAACAATACGTTCTGCCATGTAACTTATAGTCTGCGGAACACAAATAACAAGAGTAACATTATGATAAAAAGGAGATTGAGATAAGGGTTAAAATTAACTAGTAAACAGAATGATATTAGGTGAGCCAAGAGCTACATAGAATCTTCTTAGGAAACTCATCTCGAAAAAGGTTGTTGCTCTGACTTGGTCCTAGCAGACATTCTCCAATACGACAAAGACATTGAGTTTCAATGAGCCTTGTAGACCAGTAGGACTTTCCCTAGTGATCAAGAGGCTAACATATTTAAGACGGGGAGTTTGGTTCCCTCACTCGCACAGACTATCCCCAATATCCCCTTAACTAACCAAAACACAATTGCATGGTTTTTGCCACTATCTTCAATTCATTGTTTACTAGTGTGCTACATACGATATAACTTGTGAGTCTTCTGTCAGGCAGACTTAACATTAGGGCCAACTGCATTCTCAAATAAAAGTGGTATCAAAATATTTTATTCTCACCGCTTAAAAGCTAGCTTTGAGGATAGGCTCCTCAAGTGCTTGGTGTTTATCAATTGGTTTTTCGTACCTCAAAAACAGAATGGCTACTATGGAAGGTTCTGACATGCGAGGGAGTTGTGTGAAGTGTCACAAAGTCACATATTCTGAGGTATTTTGAGCAGCATAAGTTTCACATCAAATAGTATGGAATGCTTGGTGAAGGTACTTAAGTGTTTAGTATCCCCCTTGGGAAAAAAAATCCTCATCACACATAATGTGATAGGTTCTTGAATCAAGAACTATCGCTTTACACGATACCCACTCACACACAACACAGAAAAGAAGAAAGAATGATGTATATTCTTCTATATGAATCAAAGTGTCAACTGTACAAAACCTCCCAAGGAAGAACTCCCTCCTCCACAGGATATAAAATGTCCTGCCTATTCAAAGAATGCTCAAAAACTAACTCTGTACAATATTCCCCAAGCCTTATATATAGGCTCCCCTTCCCCTTCCACTAACAAAACTAACAGACTCCCCATGTACCCAGCTAACTTACTTTCTAATTATTCTTTCTCCTTTCATACACCCAAAATATCCTACCATAATGAGAATAAAAGGTATAGAACACACAAAAGTACCACAAATGAAAAATAGCAAAAAGCATGAATTTACATAGTTCGGTACCCATTACCCACATCCATGGAACCATTGTGAATTCTTCAAGAGTCAAGAAACATGGACCTCTATAACAAAATTTGGCTTTTTCTTTGTTAATGTAAAGGATACATACATGAACATCACTTGTGCAGTACAGTTCAATTAACAAGAAAACCAAACTGATAATATAATTCAATTGTATTATAAAAATAATCTACCTGTTTAGGTTGACCTTGTCGACCACCAATAGTGGTCACAATAATACGGCCAGTTTCAGTTCCATTTCCATCCACCATTGCAGTATCCATTTCCTACCAAAAACATAGAATTTGTTGTGAGGGGTGGAAGCATAAGTGATGATCAGAACCTGATGATACAAAGGGACAAGGCGTACAGAAAAGATAAATTTCAAGACCTTTTCATCCTTGATTTTCATTTCATTAATCTCCTCCGGGAGCTTTTCAACAATCATGGAATCATCACCCGGTTTACCAATAGTAGAGGCCATATATGCTGAACCAAGATAGATCAAACCTTTTCAGTTAATCAAAACCTTCAAATCAACACTGTAGATCAGCACAACCTGAAAATATTTGAGAACAAAAATGTTAAACAATAATCTAATATAAGGAAGAGTGATCAGTCAATGAGCAAAAAGCAAGCACCATAAACAGAGTACGCTAAAGTTAGTATCCCCAACCACGTTCCATTTGAATGTAAATCATCAGAGTCCATATCAGTAATACATAGCAATTCATTATGTAGCACCAGACCAAAAGAAGAAAGAAAAGACCAACAATCATTTTGTAATCAATAGCAATAATACCAGTCACAATATCAAAATAATTGGAAATGGCACGACTCGTATTATTCACTAGAGAAGGCCCACACGGGCTTACGCATACTTCACAATGCACCGAAGATACATGAGAAACCTAATCAATACTTACATTGTGAACATTTTTCATCGATTACCAAATCAAATAACAACTCATGAATCTTAATTTCCAGCAAAGTAGTGAGTGCATTAAATTGAAACGAAAAACAAAGAAGTAATGAGTGCAATAAATCGAAACAAACGAAAAACAACCCAGCAGCATCTGAAAGACAAATAAGTACATTAAAAATTAAAAAAGAAAAAGGATTGCGCACTCAAAGGACAGTTAGCTATTTATAGCTAGAAAAAACTGCTGCTCCCCTTCCCAAACTTAGGCTGCTAAGAAGACGCAAGAAAATAAGCTACCTCCCAACATCCAAAAAAGCTCTAAGATATTGAGTCATTGGTTAAACTTAACAAAAGTTGCAAAACTAACGCTACTTCTAGACAAGAATACCTACGCAGAAGAAAAATCACCATAACCGAGCTCCACATGTTTGGAAAAACACAACACTGAAAAGGAGAGAAGAAAATGTACTTTTTTTTTCTCACCAAGAAGACCCTAAACCTGCTAATATGCCACGAGAACTTGACATTTTCCCATCCAAATGAAAACTCCACTTGGAGAGAGAGAGAGTGAGAAAGAAAGAGAAGAACAAAGTTTAAACCGGAAAAAGAAAGATGATTTCTTGCATCAAAGAAAAGCGCGTGAGGAAGTGAGTGTGAGCTTTAGTTTCAGAGGCGTATCTTGCAGGTTTGACTGAGTTACGAGCTTTCGTGTGGAATGAATAGATTAGATTAAAACATGGAAGACCAGCAAGACCAGCACGCACAAAGCGGAACTCACTGGTTTTATTAGATTTTGTTAAGAGGCAGTTTCGACATCCGCACTGATGTGTTGGCCACATGGGAAGAGAGAGAGAGAGAGAAAAAGTCTTTAAAGTCTGACATCACGTCAGGTCAGGTAAAAGGACGTATTCTGTATTGGCTACTAGGCTTTAAGATGAGTAAGACACAGTCCCGTATACGACAAACTATGATACAGAAAAATGCAGAATTAGAAGTGTGGCTCGGAGTTGCACAAAATAAGTTTGTGTCTATTATGTTGTTTGTTGCGGTCGTTGTTCAGCGGACAGTGGCCAAAATACAAACTGCATACAGCCGTGAGATTGAACCTTTTGATTTTTTATGATGAAGATGATACAAATATCTGAGATTATGAATAGTGTATTATTAAATCTTTAAGATAATGCACTACCAAAACTTTGGCTTATGTTTGAGAGCTCTTTATTTTGGTAAGATATAAAAGGTTTCTATATATTTAAAAAATAATTGTTTGCACGGTGATAATATAATAGTGTGAAACGCTTATTAAACCCTAAACACTGTATTTTAAATGAATTAAAATAAAGATTTAAAAATAAATGCAATGCTAAAAAAATTAATTCTTTTGTGTTTTTATATTATATATGAGATTTCGCTTTTTCTAGTTTCCACGATGATACGGAAAAAAAAAGTCATTTGCAAGTTAAAATCAATGATATACTTGATTTTACTAACTTTTTAGTGTCGCAAAAGACAATCAGGTTTGTTTATTGTAGTCATGTTTTTTTAACTTGGATCCAATGGTGTTTGAATCTATGTTTTATGGCTGCAAAAGTGAATTCTATTTAAAAAGAAAATCGTTATTTGATAACTAAGTTTTGTAATTAATCACATATATATTTGAATGAGTCAATAAACAACGAGAAAAAAATGTTATCTGAAACCTAATTCCTTATAAATGAAAAATAAAGAAGCAAAGACATAGATTCTGACTTGTTGGAAAGGAAACAGAGATCTAGTTTTCAAAGGAGATGGAGCATACCTCATTGGATTCAAAGAAGGAAGCAAAACCTTTATCTAAAAGCAAAGATAGATAGACACTTCCTTCCTTTTTAATAATTCCTTCTTTTTAAGTTACTTCAATAGTTTTAACATGCAATATAAAAAACGAAGTAGATGCTGTATATTATGTTAAAGATATGCTTAAGAAATTCAAGTTGGAAGAAACAAAGGAGATAAAGACTTCAATACATCTTACAACTAGCTTAGGGTTAAACAACATTACAAAAAAGAAGGGCATTACAGAAGGCCAGGAGCCCTTAGAAACAGCCCAAAACCGTCGGTAAAAGGTAATTACAGACGGCTTATCGACGGCCAAAGAGCCCTCGGTAAATCACTTGTCGCTAACATTTACCGAGGGCTTCCGCCCTTCGGTAATTACCGAGGGCCAAAAAGCCTTCGGTAATTACCGAGGGCCAAAAGCCTTCGGTAATTACCTAAGGGCGTTCTCAACCTTGTCCTATCATGCACCACTAGACTTTGCATTTGGAAACATACACCAGTACAATAATACAAAAAGACACCGGTTAGTTTTCTTTATATGCATCGGTTCTACAACCGATGCATACATGGACGAGGTAAAAAGGACACGTTTTATGCCTCAGTCAGACATCGAGATAAAACAGTATAGAATTATGCCTCGGTTATCTAAGAACCGAGGCGGTATATTTTTTTTTTCTCAGATTTTAGTACACAATGGAACCGTGCTCTTCAGATCCAAAAATCAATTTTCATGTCACAGAGAATTCCCATTGCCATTGATTGATCATGTGTAAACCTTCAACCCGAGAAGTGGCTTTGACGGCTGAGTGGTGCAAGTGAAATTGTTTTTCAGCAACAATAAAATCCCAAAACCAGAAAATCCAAAACCAGAAAATCCCAAAACTGAAAATCCAAAACCAAATATGAAGAAGAAGCAGAAGAACAAGAGTAGATCTGGAGCAGCAGTAGCGGCAGCGTCACTCGCGGAGGGGAAGAATGGCTGAGGCAGCGGCAGCAACGGCAGATCTGGAGCAGCAGCAGCGGCAGTGTCACTCGCGGAGGGGAAGAATGGCTGAGGCAGCAGCGGCGGCAGCGGCAGATCTGGAGCAACAGCAGCGGCAGCGTCACTCGCGGAGGGGAAGAATGGCTGATGCAGCAGCGGCATCGGCAGATCTGGAGCGGCGGCGGATATGGAGCAACGGATCTGGAGCGGCGGCAGCGGCGGCGGATCTGCAGCGGCGTCTGGAGGCAACGGCGTCTGGAGGCAGCGGCGTCTGGAGGCAGCGGCGTCTGGAGGCAGCGGCGGTCGTCTGGAGGCAGCGGCGGTCGTCTGGACTGTGCACGGCAATGGGAAGAATGGGAGAGCACAGAGGGGAAGGGAGAGCACCGAGAAATAAGAAGTTGTTCGAGTGTGAAAATGAAAAGGTTCAAGAGTATAGGTAGTAAGTGTATAGGCAGCGGTCATCTGCGAAACCCGAGGCAATAGCGTTTTTTAAAAAAGTTGTATTCTCGGGACAGATGTATAGGCCTCGGGTCTGCTTCTAACCGAGACAGTATTACCATTCGACCTCGGTTAAGCTGTAACCGAGACATATAGTCTTTTACGCTTCGGGTTTTGCGTAACCGAAGCGTATATAACGCGTTAGTTTCCCGTTTTTTTACTAGTGATAAACCTGCACATGCCAACCTAGAATCGAAAATTGGAGCAAAACATTTATACATAGTCACAATCTCAACATTTATACATAGTCCCAACAACAACTTTAACAACAATAATACCTACTTGACATAAAAAAAATATCTCCAAAAGCTATAAACTACTCAATCAGATTAACAAATGTCAAATAGCCAAGGATTTTTATGCAGAATATACCATCAAAACAACCCCAACCAGATTTTATGCAGGTTATAACAGCAAAATATAAGGTAAATTTTTGCAGAATTTTACAACAACCAAAACAGCAAAGATTTTATGATGCAGAATTTATCAGGCAATTCAGCAAGCTTTTCTGCAGAATTTTTGTAACTAAGGACACTCAAATGTTTTTTTGCAAAGTTTATAACTAAAACAAGAAGGTTTTCTGCAGAGTTTTATAATTAAAACAACAAGGTTTTCTGCAGAGTTTTATAACTAAAACAATAAGATTTTCTGCATATATTGACTCCAATTCAGCAATTAAGATCATACTCTCATTTAGCAAACAGATAAGTGCAGTGCAAAAATCATTTCTTCAATGTTATATCAATTTTTCATGCCTATTTAAACCATTTCTCATGCTTTTGCACATTCGTTTTATATCAATAATACTTATTGATGGACAAATTTGTAAGCACCAAAATATGATGTCACAAACTTGTTTCACAATCGGCAAGTATGACCGAATCGTTTCAAGTAATAAACTTGGTAAGACCAAGTAAATCGTTCTCTCTCCCAAAGGGACTCACTGCCTAGTTAGTTATGTATTTTTTGATTAGCTAAGACTTAAGAACACAATACTTGAAGTTTAAATATGCAAAAGACGCGAAAATTAAATATGTATGCATGAATTGATTCAATGACAAAGACCAAAGGATAACCTTTCAAGTAAATATATGAATGATATGTCTTGTTGGGGGTCAATTTCATCTCATCCCTCTCATATATTTTAAGGAATTCAACATTCAAATCATCATTGTTAATGCACTCTCTAATGTACCTCTAGATGGCTCTCTCCTAATCAAATAGTTCATCCAATTCCCTAGCCATTCCTAATGATTAGTTCATGAGTGCAGGAGGCTTAAAGTCACCAATATAATATTGTCAGTATAATATTGGGAGAAATTCCCGGATCTATATTCTCCCCGTACGTGTCCGTATCAACAAAACAATAATCATGCATTAAATGAGTTTAAACAATGCAGCAGTGAGCAAGAGGAAAAACCCTAACTATTATGAAAGACAGGCAATGTATTAATTTCAAAGATGTACCACCAATCCCATATAGGAGAGCTTCAAAGATTTACTTTGATTCCTCCCCAACAAACATACAAGGTTTAAGTTTTCACCATATTCATGGTGAACCTGATGAATACATGAAAGTAGAAAGAATAAACCCAATAAAGGTGAAGAGGTACCTGAGATCCAAGATCCCCTGCAAAGGGTGAAAGAGAGGTGTTTGCCTCGTTTCTTTCTTGCAAAGATACCTAACTATAGACGTTCAAGCCCTTATATACTAATATAGAGTTACAAAAGATTTACAGTCCAAGCCCAAAAAGTGCCTCTCAGCGGTTATTTACCTGCTCAGCTGTGATTCGCGTCTTTCTTTCTTCCCCTCAAGCGGCCATTTTGCCCCTCAGCGGTTCCAACGTTACCTCTTGAGTGCCGCTCAGCGGTAGTTTGCCGCTGAGCGGTGCCTTCGACTTCTCCTTTTTGCACTCTTTCTTGTCTTTTCGAATGTCCCCTCTCTATGCTCACTCTTTCACATCAAATTTCACCTCAGAACCTGCACAAAAACACTTAAAATCCAGGCATAAACCTGCCAGCCTCTTATTTACTTAAAATATAAAACACAAGGCATGATTTCAAGCTAGTTTTCTAATGTCTAAAGGTTGCTTTGTAAGTATCAAATTTAGCATGAAAATAACAGTTTTTCAACTGTTATCATACAACCCCAAACTGGAACTTTGCTTGTCCTCAGCAAATAAAAATGTAACTCCATCTCCAACCAATTATATATGGTTCCACTCATTCAAAAATCTCTTTTTCAAGATAGTATACCTTCACCGCCAACTATACCAAGAGTTCAATCAAGATGTGCACCAGCTTTATGTGTTACAAGTCATTTAAATTCCACATTACCATTTTTCATTGAATGATCAATCAATTAAGATGGATGTTCATGTTGCTTATGGAATATTTCCATCACTAGTTAAAGTGGTTTCAGCACTCAACACACAAGTGTACTAAGAGTAAAGTGTTTCACTCATTCACCTCCACTATCACAATGTCCATGAATCAACTTTGCCCTTTCTTAACCACAATCAAATACATTCACACATGCATCCTCACAAGGACTTTTCAATGGCTTATAATGGGGTCTGGGCTAACAAGAAATTGGTTTTTTCTGGATCAACAAAATCCGGAGTTAAGAGAATCATAACAACACCATCTTCTTATTCCTTCCCAACTTTCTTTTGCCTTTTGCTTTGCATTTGCATTGAGCTTGCTTCTTTTTATTTTCTTTTCTTGCATATTCTTACTTTTTAGCTCTTAGATCAAGCTTTTTTTTTCCTTTTTTCATGTTTCCCCCCCATACCCCCCACTTGAACATTTAACAATACCACAACAAGATCTTCTACTTAACCAAGGTAAAGTTTTCATCAAGGGTGTTCATTGTAATATTTTAAGGCTAGGGTTCAAAGGATAGAACACCACTGTTCTCTTTTAGAGGCAACTTTATTAATTTGGCCAATAAAAAGGGTTTCAAAAACACGGCCTTTGATCATATGACAAACAAGCAATTGATTCAATCATAGAAACCTGGCAAAGTCATTCATGCTTTCAAAGTAACAGCATTCAACATACAACTCTGGAGCCAAAACCTCACATATATCTCATTCACATTTGACATGCCATCTGCTTAATTGCACAATCACAATCATGATATTATGCCATTTGTTCACAAAGCTTGTAATCACCTGTATAAGCAATTTATGTGCACATCATCTCAACATCAATCAATTCAATAAGCTCCTCAAGCATTACTTATCACACATCACATTAAATCGCAAACATCATAAGGAACCAGGTGTATTAATAGAGTACATCAAACCTAATCTAAAAACAAAACAAATAGTTTCAAAACTTAAACCACAAAAGCATAACATAATGATAGCATTCATCAGTAATGCTATCTCACAGGCCCTCATCATCGAGCTCTCTGTATCTTCCTCTTTCTCTTCATCATCATCTTCATCAAAATGCACCCCTCCTCAAGCTTCAATCTCATCCATTTCTCGGGCTGTAAGCTTCAGCTATGCTTCAGCTCCTGCATGCCATGGTTCTTCTGCCAAGCTACCACATTTGGAATTCATCCATAGTCCCACCTGTGTGCTGGAGTGGTATCATCATACATCCCCACTATCATTCACAGCCGTGGCCACCGCCCTCTGTGGATGACTGCAACTGAGCACCTTAAGAGACATATTACATGCCCCTCATCTGGAATGGGTTTCTGCCTCATGAGTATCAGAGAAGTCCCTGCTCTGTGCTGGCCTTCTCTCTCTACAGTCCTGGCGTGTGGCACTGGCGGGCTGCCGCCCTCCTCAACCTCCACATTTTTACTGTCGTAATAGGCTCATCTATAGCTTTTCTTGCCTTCAAATGGTGGAACAAAGGTCCCCCCCAGCTAGCTTGCAAAGGTGAGTGATCAAAGAAGGATGTCCCCCGTGGGTGCTTTGTTTTTGAGGTGTTTAGCACACACACTAATCTCATCAGCTATCACCTGCCCAATATTAAAAATTCAAGTTTTCTGATATGCACCGTAGATAAGAGTGCCCTTCTGAGAGTAATATCTTACACATGTGAACATGGCTGAATGTGTGGCATGAAAAATGCCATGCAATCTTGCAGAGGAGTCAAATCTGTCCTCCTAATATTAACCACTGAGCCAGATCTATTCCTTTGGAAGTGTCCTCCAGGTATGCACAATACTCTCTCAACATCATCAAAGTCAGCACCTTCCTCCATGCTAGAGCAATGGCATTGCTTTACCAGCCCACACAGTATCCAGAAAGTTGTGTATGGATTCCAGGATCCTACTTTGATAGCATGGCCTCTAACATAGCCCAAATAATTCTCAGCTGGATAATCACCATCTTCTTTGGCATTGGTGTAGAAATTCTTTCACCACACTATGTTGCAGGTGATGGATAGTGGCTAGCTTCTTCCCCCAATCATTCCCTAACACTTGCCTCTCCAAATTGAGAGCAAAGTTAGGTATCATTCCAACCTTTCTCTCCATTAGAAAATCCTCTGTCCTGAACCACCCTAAAGTACTTCCAATGTTTCCTAGAGAGGAACCTGCCATTATGGGGCTGCTCTGGTTTCCTTTTCCTTTCTCCTTGTTGCCATGGTTTTCAATCTCCTTTTCCTGAAGAGGTTGCCATTCCTTACTTCAACCATAAATCCAAAACCACAGAACATGATTTAAATCATTAGTAAACAACAAACAAAACTCCTTTTTGAAGCTAAACCACCACGCTGAGGGCCAGAATTTTCCCCTCAGCGCCACCAGTGTCCACATCAAACACGCAACAAACCAGAAAAAGAAATCTGGCCGAGTGCCCTGCCCCCCGATCATCGGTAAATGCCGCTCAGCGGTGATCTGCAGTTTTTTGCCAAAATCTCGTTTTTAAAAAACTGTCCCTAAACTCCACCCCAATGCAATTGTCATTTTCCAGTTCATAATCAAGCAGTTTAATCGG